AGGCAGCCTATTTGTTAGCTCCAGGCCAATGAGACCCTATTTCTTTTCTTTCTTTCTTTCTTTCTTTTTCTTTCTTTCTTTCTTCCTTTCTTTCTTTGTTTTGTTTTGTTTTTAAGACAGGGTTTCTCTTTGTAACAGTTCTGGAACTCGCTTTGTAGACCAGGCTGGCCTCGAACTTACAGAGATCCACTTGCCTCTACCTCCAGAACATTGGGATTAATGACATGTGCCACCGCTGCCCAGAGAAGAACCCTATCTTAACAAGCAAGCGTTTATGTTTTTGTTTGTTTTGTTGGTTCGTGTGTGGGTATTCAGGGATGGGTCAGCAATTAAGAGCACGTGCTTCTCTGCCAGAGACTTTAATTCAGTTCCTAGCTCCCACATAAGTCAAATCACAACCACTGTTTACTCCAGCTACCGGGGCTCTGAGGCCAGAGTGGCCTCCGTGGGCACCACCTGTTACACACTCTCTCTCACACGTAAACATAAAGAAAAAACTTTAGTTTTTTAAAGTTAAAAAAAAAAAAAGGCAAAAGCAAGTTGAATGGCTCCTAAGAAATAATATCTGAGATTGACCTCCATGCGCATCTGCATAAACATTGCACGTGTTCACATCAGCACACACACACACACACACACACACACACACACACACACACACACACACTCACACGTGAGAATTCCTCTCCCTAGCCTCTGGAACTGAAAAGCAGCACAAACACGTCCATTGTAGTCTTACTATCACCTGCCTTTCCTGGGCGTGTCTACCTGTCTGCTAGAATTAAGACCATTGGAATAGCCAGTTCTACCAGCTGTCACAGGCTAGGATTCTGGACAAAAACTTCATGTATGGAAACCATCCATTCTTGCCCAGCATGGTTCCTCTTAAAGTTCTTCTGGAAGTCTCAGGTTTCAGCTAGTCAGGTCACCCTGAAGCACATGTGGAACTTCAGGCTAGGAGTCAGCACTGCCCATCCGCATGGCCATGGCACAGGCTGCCTCATCCCTGACCTCTGACCATGCAGGGTGGAATCACTAGCAGCAATGATGGCAGCAGCAGGTGGGCATTTACCTGCTCCACAGGAGTCCTCTGAAAGCCATCTGTCTCAGATTCTGGTACCCAAAGTTGGCTATTATGCACCTTTCCCTTGATGTGGTCCCACTGTCCATATGAGCCCAATCCTATAAACAGTGCTCTCTCTCTCTCTCTCTCTCTCTCTCTCTCTCTCTCTCTCTCTCTCCCTCCCTCCCTCCCTCCCTCTCTCCCCTCTCTCCACTATGTCTTACTACGTAGCCCTCAAACTCACAGAGATCAGCCTGCCTCACCTCCTGAGTGCTTGGGATTAAAGTTGTTGCCCCACTACAACTGACCCCTAACGCCTAAACAGCGCCTTTTACAGACTGAGATAGAACCCTTCATATTGTACAAAGCTTTATGCTGCAGATTCAATGCAGATGTCCATCAGTACTCAGCCTGGTCGACAAATCTCACGAACCGAGCACCGAGTCCAGCTCAGAGCAAGCAAAGAAGAGAATGCTGTACATAGACTACTGTGCTCTGCTTCCCTCTAGCCCAGCCTTCTGGATTTCTAGGATATCCCATACCCATGCTGATTGCAGGATACCTGTGCATCCAACCATCCCATGTTTTTTAACTGCTGTATACATCCAGGCTCTATGTTTTGTTGATACAAAACTGAACAAAACACACATTCCCCTTATATTATTTCTTTCCTCATCCCTATGACAGAATACCCGATAGAAATGACAATCACAAGGGAAGATTTACCTGGGCTCCTGGTAAGAAGGCTCAGTTCATCACAGTAGAGAAGGCATGGCTGGGCTCATGCCAGCGGGTGTGTGTGTGTGTGTGTGTGTGTGTGTGTGTGTGTGTGTGGTATAGCAAGCTGTTCACACCTCAGCCTATAGGAAGTGAAGAATGCAGGCTACAACCAGGGGCAGGCATAGCCTTCGAAGGCCTGCCCCCAGTAGCCCACTTTTGCTAAAGTATCTTCTCCTAAAAGGCTCCAAAACAGCATCACAAGTAGAGACCCAATGTTACAGAATAAGAGCCTCTAAGGCTGTTTTAGATTCAAACTATAACGCCCCCTGCTCTCACTCACATACATTTCAGTAGAGGAAAAACGAGTGCAATCACTTCACAGGGTGGCGGGGTTAAAAAATAATGGTGATGAGAAGGGAACTCAGGGAGAGGATCAGGTTAAGCTCTCGTGGGAGAAGACCCGAGCTCCTGGAGCTGAAACCGGAGAAAGACAGAGAGAACTAGCCATACTAGTTCATGCTAGAAGACCTGGCACAGAGTACGTTCCTAATAACAACAAGTACGCTGATGATGTGGCCAGAACCAGCCTGTGGAATCAGCTCATGTTCTTTTTAATCAGCAGGAAGCCACGGGAGACTTCTAAGTAGGGAGTGGTTATGCCCATGCTCTCTGGGGGCCTCCACAGTAACCAAGTGCAGGGATTCTCAGTGAAATCTGCATTCTGTTTGCAGATAACCACACTGGGGAGACCAAAGTGCTGTCACAGAGAGAGGGGAAGCTAGAATTCTGACACACAGAGAGAATTCACCTCAGCTCAGTCAGTACCTCGGCGGGGAAGTAAGGGGATGGAAAAGACGAGGATGGGTATCATAACCAGGGTCATTTTACTTTACAGCTCTTACTAAAACAGCACTCAGGATGTGTGGGAGAGCGAATTTCCAATTAAAACCAACCTCAAATGCAGGCAGAATTGGTGGCTCTTCTCTCAATTATCAGAAATGACTAAGTAGGTGTTACAAAGATGAAATGGAGAATACTTCTCTCCAACACTGCCAGAAGAGCCTTCCCTGTTTCCTCTGATGCATCATCATCTTTCTTGGGGTAAGGGCAGGGATGAGACTTCAGGAGATTTTGTTTGTAAGATTCTGCCAAGTGTGCCATGTTCTGTGACAAGCACTCAGCAAGGGAGAGTAACCAGGGGTGGGGTGGCCATGGGAGGGACTCGGCCGCTGATGACCTGACAGTGCTGGGGACTTTTCTCATTCGGGATGCCTCTGGTGGCTGGATGCCCTTCCGTGTGTCTATGTTTACATGATGCTGAGACGCCAACCTCAAAGGGTGAAAGTAGAGAAAGTATCTGTTTCTTCTCTCAAATGCCTCCTCCTCTGTTTATATAACTCCAATACCTCTAAGCTCTTGAAGACTACGTTATTCTCTCTTTACATCACACACAAGACTGTTCTATTCCCCACCCCCAATATGCCACAAAAATTCACAAGTGGAGACCATCACCCCAAATGGTACATGAGAGAGATAGAAGAAAATAAAATATAAATGCTGCTCCCCATGAAATAATGGCTAAGTTTCTTATACTTCTCTCCATAAAAGGTTGTGTTTGTATAAACGTTTGTATCACTCATTACACGGACTGATTACAGAATTTCAAATCACTTCAAATAAAGACTATTATTGCAAAGCGAGAGAGTGTGTGTGAACAACTTGGTAGAGACAGCCCACCTCTACCTACACTCACGCCCCTCACAGCCCTACAGCCAGCACTCAGTCAAGATGGGCAATGGGGAAGGCCAGCTTCAGACTGGTCTTCAGTCTGCAGCCCTCTGGCTCAGTTTCCCTCCTGCAGGAGAGGGTGTGCTTTAAAGTCCCTCTGAGAGTCTGGGACTAAAGCTGGTTAACATCTGTCGATCTTGACACTGTCCTAGAGTACACCAACAACCCTCCCTTCACAGGAACTGCCAACTCCACCTGCACTCCTCGGCACCGTGTGCCCCTTCCACCAGCATCTACAGCCTCAAGAGAGCATTTTTTCTATTGTCAAAGGCCAGAGAGATGCACTCAGTAGCTTTAGGTCACAACACAAGCTGTTACTTAATTCTCATTTGCCACTCATGTGACAGTTTGCTGGCTGCTAGGGAAGGAGTACTCCTGTTGTTCAGTCTACATGAGCAGCAGAGAACTATACAAATTAGTACCCATGGAGGGGGAAAGGACTAAGGGAGGGCTGAGGAGAGAGAACGGTGCTGGGAAGCGTTCTTCATCTTTACTGAACACTTAGTCAGCATCTAACTTCAAGCTTATCATAACAAAGCCACTAAAAATGACTTGACGTTTTTTGCTCTCAATCAAAACTGTGAGAAAGGAAGTGGCATTCACAGGCCCCTTGGCCAGATCTTTCAGCCATTTCTCTTGAGAAAGAGAAGATGGAGGCTGTAGGGACTTTGGCCCCCTAGGAGTTGAAACAGGACACACTAGACACCAAATTTCCAGCACAAAGGAGATTTATCTCCCAGAGGGGCAGAAGGGGTGGGGAGTAGAGCTGCAAAGGCAGAAAGCAGTAGCAGCAGGGGCAAGCAGGGGCTTTTCTGCAGGAGTGGGCTTTTAGGGAGAAAAGGGGGAGTCTGTATTTGAGTTGATAGATCCTGATTGGACATACTAGTCAAACAATGAATTTTAAAGCCAGGCAGTGGGGTGCACGCCTTTAATCCCAGCACTCTGGAGGCAGGATCAGGCAGATCTCTGTGAGTTCGAGGTCAGCCTGGTCTACAAGAGCTAGTTCCAGGATAGCTGGTGCTGTAACAAATTTTGATTGTTGGATCTCAGTGTTTTGTCTCAGGAATGAGTCGGTGGTCAAATAAGGGAATAGACCTTGGGGCTAGCTGCAAGAATGTAATGTAATGGCTTTTAGCAAGGAGAGGGAAATGGGGAAGGGCAATACCTGCCTGTACCATGTTGTTTGCCAAGCTCAGGTCTGTTAGGGAAGCCTTCAGGGGTTAGGACCTGGAGTTAGAGAGCTATGGGTTCTGCCATTGCTAGATAATCCTCGAGTTCCAAGACTACGTGTTCATGTACTGAAGAGAACACTGCGGTGCTTGCATCAAGCTCCTTAGTATCGTCATATGAAACTGTGTTTCCTCATGGTTTGCTTCCTGTGAATGACGGGATCCCTGAAAAGCATCTTAGTTACAGAGCTGTTCCTTACCTTAAAGGAATTCATTTGGCGAAGGGACAGAGGCAGTGAAGCGTTGCTCCTCGACAGTATCAACAGCAGTTCCAAGCAGGTTGCAGAGGGCAGGGTTAAAGGGTGGACGCTGATGTCACTTTCCCATGCGCTGGCAAGCCTGAAACACACAGATATGTTAACTTCCATAAATGCATGGTCAGAATTACTCTACAAATTATGACATAGAGGAAAACTCATTTGTGTGTGTGTGTGTGTGAATATGTGTGTGGAGAATATATAAAGGTAGAATTAAAAACATATCAAAAATTCACAAGGCAAGTGCCAAGCCTGAGAACTTGAGAAAGATCCCCACATGGTGAAAAGAAAGAAGTGACTCCTGCAGGTTATCCTGTGACCTCCAGCGTGTGCTGTGCCATGCATGCATGCATAAACACACACAAACAAAAAAAAAACCCACACAGAATAAACTTTTTATATTTACAAGGTAAATGTCCAAGACATTTTTATGCTGTTCCTGGCATAAAAGAGACAGATTACTTGTTTTTCAGTAATCAAAGTATAATAGTCATATGACATGTAGGCCCATTGGAGTGAAGCCTGCTGGGAAGAGAGGGGTCATGGTATTTCATCTATTTGAATAAATAAAGCTTCCCTGAAGACCAGAAAGCAAAACAGCCACACCAGTCAACCATACAGGCCAGCCAGTGGTGGCACACACCTTTAATCCCAGCAGCCACACTAGTTAGCCATAGAGGCCAGGCGGTGGTGGTGCATGCCTTCAATCCCAGCACTAGAGAGGAATGTAAGACAGGATGAGACAGGAACTTGCTCTCTTCCAGTCTGAAGATTTCACAGAGGGAAGAGCTCTCTAGTGGTTGGTTGCTTTGCTTTTCTGATCTTCAGGTTGAACTCCAATCTATCTCTGGGTTTTTATTATTTGTGCTACGGGGTGGGGGGCAGTAACAGCTAACATATTAAATGCTTCCCATGTTCCACATGCTTTCCCCACACACAGAATGCTGTGATGACCCTTCAGCCACCTGCACAAGAGCTGCCACCTCCATTTTATAGATGTGGAAACATTCTTAGTGTGGAGGACTTAGGAAACATCTGGGTCGGTGATTTTCAAACTTTTAAAGGGTTAGGATCCTTTTGTTCAAAAGTCTTGCAACGGGCCAACTGTCATGCAAATAAAAGCAAAGGGGCTGTTTGAAGAGGTTGGACGGGCAGGATGCTGCCCTTTATCCTTCACAGGGGCTTTTGAAGAGGCTCTGTGAGGCTCTGTGCAATCTGCGGGGCCCATCTGAGAACTCTTTCATGTGCGAGAGCAGGAAGCCGAGCGCTGACACTAGATAAGGCAAGAGGCGCTGTATGAGATGAGGCAGCCAGCCGTGGAGAGAGCGGTAAGGCTGCCTCCGGAGCCCCGACTTGCAGCTTCCCATTTAGTGATAAAAATCCAGGAGACAATGATGAGAAAACAATACAGGAGCAGTCGCTTTTGCTTTTGTTTGCTTGAGGATTCCGGGTGTGATGCCTGCTAGAGCGCTTTGCCACCATTCTCAGTCTTAAAGAAAATCACATATAAAACATATACTGTGTAGACATTTACTTTGTAAACAGATGTATTCCTTTGGCATTTTTTCTGAAGCTTAACCTCTGTAAGTCTCACTTTATACACACCAGCGGTAACTGGGAGCAGCTTGGGGAGCACTGGTGGCTGAGGCATGACCAACGTCAACATTGTGGCGGTGAGTCGCGATGAGGATTTAACTCTATCACCGAGCCTTTATTCTGCTCATCCATTTTTGCTGTGGGTGGCAGAGCTAACTCTGCTAACTGGGTGGATGAGAATAGACTGCACTCATTCTCCTATATAAGACCCAGCTTCAGCAAGGATGTGTTTGAATGAATTCTCTGTGCTCCGGAGATTGTTAGTCTATATTGACTGGCTCTGCTATTCTTTCTGCTTTTGCTTATTATTTTGCATACTCAATATTTCTCTGAAATAGAAATAATGATGCTACCTTTTCAAAAAGTGAAACTTAGGTATAGTCCTGCGGCTCCAGGCTCACTCTCCACCCCTCTCTTTCTGCCTTCCTCAAGCCACCCTTCCTGTCCTGTACAGCACTAAACTATATACTCTGGCCAGTGGAGGAACCTTCTAGGTCCAGACAGTAGATATTCTTCCAGTGGGCTTGAACTCCTCCTAAAGGATGCGCACAATGTCATTTCCTCGGAGAGACCCTGTTTCTCATTGCCTAATGGCACACTTCTATCTGTCACAGCACTTACCACCGCCTTAGCGGTGTTCTTATTTGGAATATGTCACCATCTCCCCCCCTCAAGGACTAGGCTTAAACATGAATGGAGTCCTCTTACTCTGCAGTCTTATTTGGAGATAAAGATTAGGAAGTTGCCTCAAAGCTGCTTCTTTGACATACACCCTTAGTTTTGTTTTTCAGTTCTGGGGAATCAAACATATGGTCTGTGCACACTGAGTAAGCACTTGACCACTGTGCTACATCCCCGTTCCCACTCGCAATATCATCACCTTTTAAGGCATAACTGAAATGCCCGGGGCTGGAGAGATGGCTCAGAGGTTAAGAGCACTGCCTGCGCTTCCAAAGGTCCTGAGTTCAATTCCCAGCAACCACATGGTGGCTCACAACCATCTGTAATGAGGTCCAGTGCCCTCTTCTGGCCTTCAGGCATACACACAAATAGAATATTGTATACATAATAAATAAATTTTTTTAAAAAAAGAAATGCCCCCCCCCACTCACAACTGTACATTTAAAAACAATTTAAGTGCTCAGAATTTATACTTTCAAACCTACCACTCACAACTGGACTCATGGAAGCTATTTACATTTTGAAATGTTTAAATGTATAGCAAAAATATTTGTTTCAAACCCACATCTTATTAAAAGCCACATGACACTTCCTAAGCATGTGAATATCACTTGGAGCTCTTCAGTGAGCTCTGACACCTAACCCAGGCTAGCCATAGGCCTTTAAGAAGGGTTTCTTATACAAATCAAAACAATTCTGAGATTCCATCTCACACCTGTAAGAATGGCCAAGATAAAAAACACTGATGACAGCTTATGTTGGAGAGGTTGTGGGGAAAAGGGAACACTTCTGCATAGCTGGTGGCAATGCAAGCTGGTACAGCTCCTTTGGATGTCAGTGTGACAATTTCTCAGAAAATAAGGAAACAGCCTTCCTCAAGACCCAGTAATATCACTTTTGGGTATATATCCAAAGGATGCTCAACAGTGCCACAAAGACATGTGCTCAACTATGTTCATAGCAGCTTGTTTGCCATAGCCAGAACCTGGAAACAACATAAATGCCCCTCAATCAAAGAATGGATAAGGAAAATGTGGTACACTTACACAATGGAGTACTACACAGCAGAAAAAAATAACGACACCTTGAATTTTGCAGGAAAATGGATGGAGCTAGAAAACATCATTTTGAGTGAGGTAACCCAGACACAGAAAGACAATTATCACATGTACTCACTCATATGTGGTTTTTAAACATGAAGCAAAGGAAACCAGCCTACAAACCACAATTCCAGAGAACTTAGACAACAATGCAGACACTAAGAGAGGCTTACCTAGATCTAATCTACATGGGAAGTTGAAAGTAGAAAAAGACAAGATCTCCTGAGTAAATTGGGAGCATGGGGACCTTGGGGGAGGGTTGAAGGGGGGAAGGGAAAGGCAGGGAGGGGAGCAAAGAAAAATGTAGAGCTCAATAAAAATCAATACAAAAGTGAAAAAAAAGAATAAAAAAGTTTCTTGACTGAAATGAGCATTGCTGGAGCCTGCTGTACTGTGGGAGAGCACATTCAATGCAAGACCACTTTCTTGTCATTTTCCATTCCCTTTGTGGCAGTAATATTTTTGCAAGTCGAGCAGAAAATAAATATACAAATGAATATTTTAAGAGTTGTCTGGATTTATTATGGTTGTAAGACGTTCTCTACAATGTGTGCTTAAATTTTATAAGTGCAGACCTTAGGTTTCTTCCATCATTTATCCTGTGCCTAACAACACATCCAGACAACAAGCCAGGCATATTGACTGTATCTGTTGTCTCATTTCCTAGAGGGGCCCTGACTGGCAGACACTGTTCATTCCAACAGTCAGAAAGCTTATATGATTGTCACCAGCACCACATGGTGAGTGAAATTGGTGGGACCAGAGTAGTCGGCTTGGCTTGAATTCAAAGCAAATGACGTCCCCATCACTCTACATGGGCATCTGAGGATGGTCTGGTGATTGTCATCCTCTCCATGTAGAAAGATGCAGACCCTTGGCAACTGGATGTGCTGATGCCCATCCCTCCGGACACCAACGTTTTAGCTTATAATGTATGGCGCTCAGTATATTTTCACTCTTTTATAAGAAGTTATTTTTATCTTTCTCAAGATATTACTTTATTAATAAAGTATTCCAAAATTTGAATTAAAAAGGTAATAGGACACACACAGGCAAATATTCATATTGGATGAACATATCTCTAGCTCAGGTAAAAAAGGAAACAGTACGGCACGCCAATGGCTATTTTCCTTAGAGGGAAATAACTGTCATTTTGTTCTCCTTCATATCTGCCCAGAAATCAGCTATTTTCATGATGCCGCTATCAATTCTGGTATAGACAAAGGCATGTTTCAATGTTGAGTAAAGGTTCCAACATTCTAAACGGCTGTGGTGGGAACCATTGAAAAGGACATTCAAACAAAAATGAAAAACTTTAGCACTGCCTTATCATTCACCAGCAAGTCATTCTGACTAAGCACACTACAGTAAGGGTACTTCAGAAAACCCTGTTAGTTCTTGATTCACGTAATAATGTGTGAGAACAATACCTCATGTACTATGCTACAGCAATACTTTATGTACTAGGTTACAACAATGCCTCATGTAATATGTTACAGCAATACCTCATGTACTATCTTACAACAATACCTCATGTACTATGGTACAGCAATACTTCGTGTACTATGTTGCAGCAATACCTCATATAATATGATACAGCGTTGTGATTTACACTCCTATACTGATAGTGGCAAGAGTTCCATGGAAAAGCAGTTACCCATGGCTCTATGTGATTATAAACATTTGCATGGTTTTAACCCGGCTC